AAGTAATATTCCAATAAATAAGTTATACCTCCTTTCTCCTGTCTCTTCTCCTCTTCACCTCATGGAATGGATCTGCACGATAACAAGTTGCCAAAAATTAAAGGAACTTTGTAAAATAATATATAGAGATGTTTGAAAAGAATATATACATAAAATGATCCATAATTATAGGTTGGGGGGAAGGCAACTACAATCTGCAAAGTTTTCAAGCTGATAAGCTGCACGTGGAACCGCTGAAAAAACACATTTCACTGGTCTTTGAATACAGGAAAAACAGGCCTCCACAAATATAATCAACATTATAACACAAATGTAGAAATAAAGTTTGGCGGACCACCATCATTTCTCATTAAACAGTCTACTGATTTAGGATTTTTTTGGTTTCAAGGTATTCCCATCACTATTTCAAGCCATTAATTAAATTCAGAGAGTTAGGGCTACATATCAATATGCCAACTTTATGCCTACAAATTCATCTGAACACTCATTCATAACCGCTGTTCCATAAAGTAACACAACATCACATGCAAGAATAAGTAAGAAAATGTCTACTGAACTAACCCGACAACCCACCCTATTTACTCTAGTTGCATTACCAAGAAACCAAACAATATCCTAACTCAGTGCATTTTTTCCAGACCAAATGACCACTACTCAGTATATTATTTCCGCAGCCTATCAAAAACCCAAAGAATCCCACCAAGCTAAAAAACAACACAAAGAACCAACACACCACATCAAAAAAAAAAAAGAGAAAAGAAAAGAAAACGATGAAAGAGCTCAAACGAAGAAACTTCCAAGGCAATAACCTTGATTGAGCAACTTTTGAGTGGTTTCATTAGGATCCATATTGGTCTCTTTAAGAGCCACGTAAATATCGGCGTCCGAGTGGTTACCCACAATCTCTTTGATCGATTGAATCGTTCTACGCACGCCCGCCGATAGAACTTGCGCGCCGCCGTCGGCTCTGGAACCAGACACCATTTTCGAAATCACAATCAGAATAAAAAATCACAGGGATCTACACAAAAATTAGGGAGAGGGTTTTTGCATTTGGGGAAAGGAATAGAACGGCTGTGCTGTGGAGGGAGAATGCAGAGGTTTGATAGCAAGGGTTTTGGAAAATTTGGAATTAGGTTTTTGGTGATGGGGAAATTTTGGGGGAAAAATTTTTTCATTTAAATTTAGGAGTAATTGAAAAGTGGCATGCTAGGTAGGAGAATTGCAAGGTAGTAGTTACGGACCAAATGCCTATGAATTTCCAATAATATCCTTGTATAATTGATTTCATAATGACAGTTTCAGTTTAAAAGTATAAATATTTATTGAAAAATATAATTATTTAACCGTTAATTTTGTGTAACATCAATCTTTGTATGTTTGATTTGTTTATGCTAAAAATTATGGAGTTATTAAAGAAATTTGTTTCCATTACTAATCTTTGTTTATGCTTTTGAAAATCATAAACAAGATAAATTATAAGTGATTATTTGAAGAGTTATTTTGATATTAACTTCAGTGTTGAAACAATTCAAATTTTCAATGAAAAAANGCTAGCTTATAAGCTTCCTGTATTCAAATAAGCTTCGGTTGGTAGGACGAGCTTTTTTAAAAAGCTCGAGCTTAACGCATAAGCTTATTTGGGTAGCTTTTCAAATAAGTTAGTTGAAATTACTATTTCAGCTAGCTTATCTGTTAATTTTACCATACATTTTTGTCATATAAGCTAACTTTTCAGCTATAAGCTAGGTTAGCAACTAGTTTACCAAACATAGCCCAAATAAACTTCGTTTGGTATGCGAACTTTTTTAAAAAGATCGAACTTATCTCATAAATTTTTTTGGTAGTTTTCCACATAAGCTCGTTGAAATTTTTATTTCAGCTAACTTATTAGATAATTTTACCAAATATTTTTATCATATAAGTTAACTTTTCAACTATAATTTATAAACTATAATCTATAAATTCAAAAATTACTTATCAACTACAAGCAAGCTATCAGTTAATTTTACTAAATATAATTTAATAGTTTGTCATTATTCCTGCAACAACAACATTATTCGACACGATTTGACCATTCACATTCAAATTGATAACTAAAACACGATTTTGTCCTAAAAAAAAAAAAGAATCGTCGTTACACTTCATCATTAAAACTGTCAAAAAAAATCTGTAAATTACATAAACTAACTTGATCTAAGTACTGCATTTTCCCCATAAAAACATCATTCCATGGTACATCAAAACTTCCAAAGAAACATTTTAATGCAACAAACTGTTACGTCCCACCAAAGAAGAAAACCGAACGCATGATACTTAGAGTAGAATAACACCAAGTGCACGCTACTTAGAAAACGGATAAAACGAGTAAAAGGGATATAAAGAACGGGGGAAGTAAAAAAAATTTGCAAAGGTTAGAAAAACTACCGAGTGAAACTAGTACAGAATGCAGCATAGTGGATCATTATGAATTCCTATTTAGCCTAAGTACCAGGGAAAAAACACAATCTACCCGCAAGATTAAGCCTAAATTACCCATGAAAAAAAAAAATGGTCGATTATCTTTCGCAATAACAAATAGTCAAATACCATCTTGATGTTTGTGTTTTCTCTTTTACAAAATGCACCATCATGAAAAGGTGTTAAAGGGTATCTATAACTTTATTGGAATATAGCCGGAAGGTTTTGTATAATAACCCAGAAAAGAAATCCGGAGTAAATGGTCACAGGTATTGTTGTTGAATTCGGGCTCTGTTTTCATCCCACCATACTCGTGCCTGCATTTCTCCAAATCTTTCTCGGCTGAAAGGAAAATTCAATGTCAGGAAAACAAACGATGGTTATTGTATATTTCTATTTCCAACAAGAATAATGGTAGAGAATTAGATTGGAAAAGAAAATGGTTGCATTTAGATATGTGGAAGAGTAGATGAGCAAAATGTAATTCTCCAGAATTTGAATCACCAGCTCTGGATTACTGCGAAGAAAGAATTTTCAAAGACTATATTCTAGAGAAAGGCTCATTTCTTCAAGGGAAGAAACTTCAATTCGAAAGATTTTTTTCTTTTTCATAATTAGGCTAAATCTCAGGGGTCGATTCATAATTACTCCCAACCTTATATACCGAGAAAGTATCATATTCGTATCTGTGCACAGAAATAACCACCCACCTGAACCTCACCCTCCTAAGCTCCCGAGCGCCACCTGGCAAGGCCCTGATGGTGATGTAGACTCCAGGCTCGTCTTGCTCGACCCACTCACTCTCTAAATCACTGGCATTGCTAACAGAGAGCTCTCCCGAGTGGTCGATCGAGCTCGACCGTGCGGAGGCATCAACGGACGACACCTCAGCCCTAGTGGCGCTGATGCTGGACAATTTCGGAGTCGAATTGAGTCCAGCTGGCGCATGATGCTGACGAGGCTGTACCGTGTTGTGTTGCTCAACTGACTCGGATGATGATTGATCGACAGCTGTCGCTCGATGGAAATGTCGAGGTAGATTTTCTTTGCTAAGTGGAGGTGTCATGGGGCTTTCCTCAACTGATTCAGGTCTTGAGGCCTGAGAGAGAGAGAGAGAGAGAGAGAGAGAGAGAGTGTGGAAACAAAAGTCTATGAAGTATAAGGTAGTTTTGAGAATCATTATTATTATTATTCATGTTCAATAAAAGTTCGTTTGTTTGTTAATCGAGATGAGTTCAAACAGAAAGTTAGGCTCGTTTAATAATCGAACACGAGCTCATTCGCGAACGTTCGATAATGTTCGCGAATATTAATTTAATATAATTTTATTTTATTATATGTTTACATGATATTTTTAATAAAAACTAAAAAATTTGAAAATACTTTTATTTTGTTTTTTTTTTTATATTCGAGTTCGAACGAACAAATTTTGAGTTAATCAAACATATTCAAAAAATGTATGTACTAAATTATTCCAACACGAACAAACTCGAACTTTGACAAACAATTAAAAGAACGAGCTCGAACACGATTTTTTGCTCGAAAAATAAATGAACAAACATGAACATTGTTCGAACGTAACTGAACACGAGCTCGAAACGCCAAGCTCGGCTTGTTCGGTTCAGTTACAGCACTAACCTCAGGGATATTTTTCTAATTAGCCCAATGAATATAGAATGTTATACATATTTCATTGAGATATGGTAATTATAGAAAAAAGTACGTAAAATCATACCTCATCTTCGGATCGTGGAGGAGTTGGCATAGGCGCTTCATGACGATTAAACCTCTGGACATTGTATAATTCCATTACTTTGTCATAGTTATCGGCCCACCACCTCTGAGCTTGCCACTTGTTAAAAATGTCTCGGCTGCAAAAGCAGAGAAAGTCAAAAAAAAAATACACGTAGAGCATGCTTCATTGTATTTTGAAATCCCTTTGTACTGACAAACAAGGCAGATTGGTACTTTTTTATGTTTTGCATAATATATTGTGAAGCGTAAAATATGATGATGGTTCCTTCACAGTCACTGTGAAAAGTGAGGGGCAACAAAAAAGTTAATGCTAAACAGTTTTAGTAGAAGTAAACAAGTTCTACAGGTCAATCACTCCAATGTCTGAATATAAATAAATTTGTGCTTACCCATGGTTTTAATCCAGTCATACAAGACAAAAGACCCAAATTTTCCACACCAACATATGGATGAATATTCACATATGCTAGCCGAACATTGAATTTGAACTTAAGAGAATTTTGGGTATTAAGTGTTCAAAGATTTGTTTGGTAGTGGGATAAAGTTTTTAATAGAAATTGGCCCACTGTGGGCAAAATTGTGAGAAACAAACACAAAACGAGATTAAACATCCAGAGAAGGTCCTACAAGAAAGAAAGAATGAATGAAAGAAAGAAAGAAAAAAAATAAAAAAGGAAAATGACAAGGAAAAGGCCGAAAGACAGAAAAAGNCCAAAAAAAAAAAAAAAAAATTGCGCTTCAATAGTATAATTTTTATAATTTTTTGCAGTTCTCTTAAACAACTAAAGGCAAGTGCCACCGATCCCTTCTCGAATATCCTAAGTTCAGGTGTGGCTTCATGTAAACAGAGATAACATGATTTAAATGTGATTATGATACATAAGGCAATAGTCAAGAATCAATTTGTTATAAGGCCCACCATTTAAGAGAAGGGCCACCTCCAGAATTTGGGGTGTACTGTAAAACTGTGGGGCTTCACATGCCCACCCAATACAACTACATCACATTACAACCAAAAATACTCAAACCTCACCATCAACCAAGGACTATAATTGCAAATTCAGGCTAGTTATAGAAAATTGGGCAATAACAGTCTAGCAGGAATCAAGATCATCAGGTTTTTCTGTTCTCTCTTCAATAATTTTGAGGGGTAAACAATCTTTCTATAGTGCACTTTGGTATCCGAATTGAATTTTCCCAAAAGTCCATGTCCCACATTTCTAGCCAGAAATGCCGATATCCAACCCAATTCCGTCTTATTTGAAATTTTGAACATCTCTAACTCGTTCTCTATTGTCTCAGTGCACAAGGAAAACTCACTCGAGTTACAAGGATACTTTCAACAAACTATACAATTTTCGGTCATGGCCAGACTTAAAAGTGAGAGATCCTAGAAAATTTTCAATAACGTATGGACCACAATTGCTTGTAACAAAAAGAAATCAAAAATTGCGACTTATCCACCTCCATATAATCAAGACACCAATCAAATCAACATCTTGTAACCACATTTCATTTTCACCAGCCATGAAGAATCAAACAAATCCCAACTTTCATATTCCATATACAAAATGGAAGTTACAGTCAGTGACTCACTATTAGTGATTAAAAAAAATACATTACGAGATTAAAAAAAATACATTGAACTATCGTAATCTCAATTGGAACAGGAAAAGCCAATATAACATAACTCAATATCGAATGAAACTCGCATCCAAATTAAAAAAACAAAAAAACGTATTACCTGAATCGGATCCTTTTCAGATCATTTCCACCTTCCGGCAATGACACGAAAGTGATCAACACGCCCGGCTCAACCTGCGCAACCCATTCTTTTGGCTCATCTTCCTCCATGAACAATACAGACTCAGTTCTACCACTAACTGAAGCAGGCGTGGCTGAGCCACTCGAAAGAGCTCTCAGTTTGACTTCCAAATCCTTTCCTCTGAGGCGAGGCATGGAGTTTGAGCTGCCCGCTCTTCTGTACGAGCCGTAAAACCTCTCGGATACTGAGCCGATATCCGAGTCTAGGTAGTCTCGGCCAAGTTCCCGGCTCGAAGATCCCGAGCATGGCTTGCAGTTCTTGTATGCACCAGATGCCTTTACTGCCATGTCCTTGATCTGAATCAAGCACACACAAAAAAAACCCAGAATACATTAGTTCAATTTGTATGATTGTTTTCAGATAGATTTGTAGTACACCCCAGTTCAACGAGGATTATCTTAAGTTCTTAACCCATTGGCTTATCAATTACAGCCATTTTTTGGTTGTCCCGCTCAAAAATTCAAAAAGAGAAAACAAATGGGATACCCAAAATGATAAATATAGAACAAATCAAAACCTGAGTAGTGATGGCCTTGATAGCATGCTTGGTCGACGGCGTGGCGGCGTTTTCGTCCTCCTCCGGCGGTTCCGGCAGAGATCCGTTCGTATTCAGCTGTTTCGAGCACGCTATGCAAGTCAACATCCCACCACAGAAAAACGGCAACGTCCCGCAAACAAAAAACGCAAATCCAATCCAGCCACCCGCTAACGAACTTCAAAAGGTTCAGATACAACAGAAATGACCAGAGATTTGAGAAAAACAAAATGGCCCTTTTCTAATCGAGAGCTGGGGAGTGACCGAGGCGGCGTCAATGGCGGAACATAGGTTCTCACGAATTCAGAGAGAGAAAGCTGCAGAGCACAAATCACAGTTCACAGATCAAGAAAAAGGTGGGGTTTTCCATTATTCTATTTTCCCTCTCACAGCTCACAGGTGGAAAAGAGTGACAGATAAAAGACTATAGAAAATGATTGATTAATTAATTAATTAATTAAATAACACACAGAGACGCATACACACACATTTGTGCCCAAGCTTCTGTTTAGTGAGAGTGTGAATAAATGAGAATGTAAAAAAATGGTGGGAGAGAGCTATCAGTGGATCAGAGGAGCTGTTTAAGATTTGTGGGGCTCTCGATGAAGAAAGGGGGGAAAAGTGGTATTGCAACTTGTTTTGGTGGTCGTATATAAATGCTAATAAATGTTGGGCATTTAATGTTAATTATGGGTTTTAAGTTTTTAACGTGACATTTATTCATAAGCGGGTCAGATTCAAATTTTCTGAAAACTCGAATCAAATCGTGGAAAAAATTGCGTTCTTACCGCGTGATGTCCAAATGATATTTAATTTTCACCTAACTTATGGTGAAAAAGTGTCCATCTCCTTCGGCTTAGTCCTAGTAATATTACTAATGGATATGATGATTATTGGGGTAAATAAATTGAACCGAACTTGAACTTGAGCTCGGCTTGGTTTGTTAAAGTGTGATTGAATATGGATTGAAGTAGTTTTTGATTGTTTTTTTTAATTATAGTTAATTTTGAAAATGTGGTTAGTTGTTAGTAGATATTTAAGTTTAAATTAAAATATTATTTAAAATAAAATAATTAAAATTGAATTGATGTAAAAGTAGGAGTAAAATGATTGGAAGTTGTGATAAGTTCAAGTTATGTGAGTAAATGAATATTGAATTAAAATTGATGTGATGTGTAAAAATGATTGGTTGTTGTTATTTAATTATATTGATAATATTAGAGATAATGTGGTTGGGTTAAAGTTGAGCTAAATATTATTTTTATATCTTATATGATGTGTAAATATTATTTTTATATTTTATATATATTATTTATTTAATAGTATAAAATATTAACTAAAAATTTACAAATAATAAATATATATTTTTATATATAAAAAATAACTGCACTCCGAACGTGCATTAGTGTCAGACTGATTGCACGTTACTGTATTTCAGATTGCACTTTATTAGTGTTAGACGGATTGCACATTATTGATTATCAGATTGCACTATAACAATTGAGCCCGACTTAATTAGTTTTTTGTGTTCGAATTTTATGTCGGATCGATTATATGTGTTTACCTTTAAAATTTTACTTATTTCGGATCGATGTCAATATTTTTTTTTTTTTTTTCCGATCAAACTATATAAAAAATACTATTTCTTATATTTTTTATAAACATATTATTTTTTCGATCAAAATAAATAAAATACTAGATAAAATATTAAGGTGCAATTTATATGACACTAATGTGCAATTTAATTATGCTAAGGTGCAATTTACATAATATTAATGTGCAAGTATTTAATTTTTCGTAAATTATAAATTTGACACATGAATTGAATTATAAATAAATTAAAGTTTATGAAATTGCGAATGAGCCTATTAAACATATCAAATTTTCAAAAAAAAAAAAGCCACAAATTTTGAAAATGCAAAGTTGTTGTCTGTTGTCTGCCTTTCTGGCAGCGACAGTACGGCGTGTGGCGGCGACGGGCTCAGTGACTGCGGGCCAGGACCCGCGCGACATGGGTGGTGGTTTTCGCTCGTCGGCGACTGTTGTAAGTATTTTTACTGGTAGAATCGAAAGATTCGTTCCCCGGGTCGTATCGCAAGGAATGTTAGCCGGATATTCTTGTGCGTATATTCAATCACGAAAAAGAGAAGAAAAATTCCTAAACACTCTAATTCAATATTTTTGAGTTTCAATTATCAACTACTGATTTAAACTGAATAAAATGAAAGTAAAATAGCTAATGAATTTACTGAATAATTAAAGTGCTAGGGAATCGGGGATAATTGCTTTCGGTTCTAACACAATCACCAACAATCGATTGCTCGGTTAAAGGTCTTGAATCGTTTCTCGTTCAGAGATTCACTCTCAATAACTCTTCGTAACAAGAGAGTGAATGTAAACGATCAACTATCAATTCCAACAACACATAGATAATACGTTTCCGGACAAATCTATTCTAAATGAGCCTAATTCGACCAACGTCTCCCCTCTCAGTTCTACACGTTGATTATCTAGGTTAGAAAGGTGATCAATCTACTAACCCTATGATTCACACAACTCGAATAGACATGAACAATAAAAAACACTCAATTATTATCGAACCTAATCAATCATCCCCTATCCCTAGCGAATGGATTTAGCTACTCATAACGAATTTAACATCAACATTCATATAAACCCAAGTCATCATCATCAACAAAGCAATTGAGAAAAATAACTTACGATTAATATAAAGAATCCAACGTCAAATCCAAGTGCATCCAAATCCAAAGCAAGAAATAGGAGTTTCTCAATCTCCAAAACAAATCAAAAGTGCAAAAGGGTGAAAAGGAATGAGTTTCTCCAGAGAAAAAGCGTAAAAATAAAGTCTGAAAGTTGAATAATGAACCCTAAGATCGAAATCTTCTCTAAAAATCCCGTCCTCGAAATTCGCGCCGGTTAAGTCGCGAGTCGCGAGATCGTCTTCTTCTCGGTCGCGAGTCGCGACATCCTCGCGAGTCGCGCGTCTTCAAAATGATAAACTTCTGGGGCTGGTCGCGACTCCGTCTCGCGAGTCGCGACATCGTCTCGCAACTGCACTTTAGCCTCAGTTTTTCTCGCGGGTCGCGACATGTTCGCGAGTCGCGACCCGAGTCGCGAGAAATTCTGGGAACAGTTTTCAGTCTGTCCTTCAGTCCTCTTTGTCGTTTTCTGGGCTCGGCCATGGGAATTCTCGATATCAGAGTCTCGGCTTAAGCAGTCCCAACCTCGACCGGCACATCCTACCTCCTGAAAAACACAACCACAGAAAAACACGAAGCAAAACACGGCAAAAAGACACAAAAATATAAACTAAAGACAAAAGCACAAAACATAAGAAATGGACCAAATAAGCTCCGAAAAAACTACAAATGGGGAAAAACAAAAAGAAAATAAACATGAAATAAAGACACAAAAATGGGACAAACAGCGACCTGCAACTTCTCTGAAGAGGTGACATGGCGGAGATGCAGTGGGCTGGCGAGGCAATGATGTTGTGGCTAGACGGATGGTGGAGGCGAGGCGGATGGCGGATGGAGGTGACCTGCGATTGGAAGAAGATGGCGGACGGCGGAGGCTGATGGCGGAGGCGAGGCGAGGATGTTGTAGCCAGACGGATGAGGCGAAGCGGCGAACTGGTGGCTGAAGGAGGAGGGCGAGGTGGAGGTATGTTGACGGCAGTGATTACGGTGGCCGTCGACGTGAGCACTCCCACCTTGAGCTGTAGACGAGCTGCCGGACTTGGTGAACAGTGGCGCCAGCGAGTCTGACAACGGCGGCAACATGACCGGAGGACTCGTTGTGGTTGCGGTGGCGGTGGCGTGACGAAATCGACGAACTGTGGTAGGGCCGTGAGTTGTCGGGGGCGGGTGTCGGGAAGAGAGGGTGGTAGATATATAGAACGGGAGAGATAGAGGAGAGAGGAGAGGGGAGAGAGAAGAGAGAAGAGAGGGGAGATAGTTGTTGGCAACAATTATAGGTGGGCCCCACTGAATTTATTGTTTGGTGAAATTACACTAGGGCACTCCAAGATATGTATTTGTCCATAAAATAGCAATATACTTACAAGGTTGCCACTGCAGGTTTGACCGTTATAACTCAATTTTGAATTGATAATGACCATTGATATAATTGATCCAATGGTGCATGATCATTCTTATTTCTTTCACTATTTAGCATTCTCAAATAATTCCTTCTCTCTATATATAATATGAGCACTGGTGAAGAAGAATGGCACGAGACATATAAAGGCACGGCTCTCGGATATCTGGGAAACGAAATGGAGGATTTTGGTTCATGGCGACCAAGTTGTCGTACATTCCTATGATGGCCCTTGTCGAAAAAATCCTCTGGAAGCTCCATATAGCGCGTTATAATTAAGTTGATAGCGATGCCAATTCGAAAGTTCTCGCATGCGAACTCTACTTCCACGCTTTCTACCTGTTGGTCCTAACTGTGGTAACCTTCTTCCGTAGATTTGACGAGCCCGTGAAGCTGAGCTGTCGGGCCAAGAATCTGGCCGCATTGGACCTCATGCTCGTGGGCTTGGGGATCGGTTATTTGGCCTAAAGGGACAACTTGATGCGCGATCTGTGGTTCGTCTTGCTCGAAGGCTTTCTTCCTATACACTTTATGGCCTTGTTCAATTTGTTGGAGGGTTTCGTGAATTTTTGGCTTCGTGATTTTTCGTTGGCCATGCTGGCTGACGTGGCGATCGTGCTGGCATTCAGGTACCCCAAGTGGGCTCCTCTTGTTGTCATGATTATGTTTCTTTCACTTCAAGACGTCAAAGAGTATAACGAGCCGGCAGCTAGTAGTAGTAGTCTCGATCCCAATCATCAACCGGAGAACCGTGAAGAAGCATGTTAGACCGATTGTCATGTTCTTCCCTAGGATTTTTTATTATTATTATTTTTTTAGTTACAATGAAGAATGTATTTTTTTTTATTTTTTTTCCTAAACACAATTCAGTTTCAGTTTATATTAATGTGGTTATCCAAAAGTTTGTGCATTTTTTCTTAATTTTTTTTATTTTGAGCCTCGTTGGTAATTTATTTAGTTGAAATTACATATGTTGGTTTCACCAATAAAAGAATAACATAAGGAAAAAAAATGCCTCATAAAGGCATTGCATTGCAATAAAAAGAGGTAGAATGCTTTCTTGATTCTCCTTCTCTTCTCTTCTTACTCTGCCAAACTCCATACCGAAACTAAATTTCCACAAGAATCAGAAAAAATTTGTACAGAATGATAATAATAAATTACACATATCCATCTCCCTTTCTCATCACACCCTTATTGTCACAACCCAAGGGACCAAGCAATAAAGGAACAACAAAAGGCACTTTCTTTCCTTTATTTTCTCATAAACAATCAAGCATATCATATCTCGTTTATTGTTTCTTTCTTCACACAGTAACTTCACATTGCTTCCGCCGAGCTCAGCCCCCAAGCCACCGCCACAGGGCTCCTCACGCGGTGGCTCTCTCCATCTCTCCACTCAATCGACCCGAACGATGTCTTAATCCCACCCACAATTTCCATTCCTAAATCACTCAAACTCACACTGCTCTTGAACGTAACCTCGTACAACAACTCACTCTCTTTCTCGCTAAAAACCAACTCATTCGGAGACACGCTCACATCCACCCCTTCCGGAGCCTCCACACTCACCCGGTAAACCGTGTCCATTTTTTCACCCACATTTTTCACCGTCCTCTTGTATTTTTTCACCACACCGTCATCACCACCGTAAAAAACAACCGAAAATGACGGGTAGTTAAGATTTCCCAGAGTTCTTAACACTAACTCATCGCAATCCACCGAGGCACTCGTGAAAACCGAGATCCTCCTCGGGTTATAACCGATCGAGCAAAGAAACGCCAAGTAGTCATTGGTTCCCAATTCGTAGACCAAACCCAGGTCGAGAGCCCGGTTCGGGTCGACATGACCCGACCCATGAACAAACGGGTTCGATTCGGTTCCCGTTGCAAGATCCGTGATTTTCCCGCCATTATCATTGTGGTTATAGGCTGTTGTCATTAGGGCCGATTTTATGGCGGCCGGAGACCAATTCCGGTGGGATTTTCTTAGAAGGGCAGCCAAGCCGCTCACGTGGGGACACGACATGGAGGCGCCGGAGATAATGTTGAACTCGACTTTTCGAGAGTCTGACTCGAGATCGGTCGAGCCCACGTGGCCCGTCCAGCCAGCTAGGATGTTGACACCTAGCGCAATCACGTCCGGTTTGAGAATCTCGATCGTTCCGACGAGGGTCTCTCCCTCGTCCCCTTTTGAGTAATGTAATGAATTCGAGCCACTTAGCCTATATTTATCCTACCTAACCAAAGAGCCTACGTTACAACCTTGAAAAACCTTTTGATGCACTAGTTTCGATTTTGATTGGTTTAGAGTAGAAGTTAGACAATGGGCAAACATATGATTGAACTTGTTATCGACCAATTTGAGTACACCCATCTTTATCTGTATAAGAATTCGAGTGAGGCATATATATATATATATTCCCATACTGAGAGAATGCCATGTTGAGGTATAGTGATCAAGCATGTAGTTGTGTGATGCTCGTATATGCCATTTGAATGCTCATTGTTGAAGTTGAACATGTTGAGGCTATCTTGTTAATGACTGTTGACCATGCTCGGTTTTAGTTTTTTTTATCGTTTCTTTTCTTTTCTTTTCTTTTTGTTCGGGACGAACAAAGGTTTAAGTGTGGGGGAGTTGTTTGTCCTATTTTTGTTGCCTTTTTCGTGTTTATTTTACCTTTCTTTTTCTCCCGTTTTAGGTCGTTTCTTTAGTTTTTAGTCCGTTTCGTGTTTTATTATGTGTTTTCCTTCATTTTGAGTCTTTTGGTGTTTTTTCGTTTGTTTTTCCGGTTTTCTTCGTGTTTTGTCGTTTTTGGTGTGTAGGTCGGGAGCTTCAGGCGAATTTTATCTTCAAGAAAAGTTGATTTCGAGAGCACAATTGGATAGATGGGTTCGTTAGTGACGCGTAGCAAAAAACGGAATTCAATTCCGAGTTCGGATGAGCCCAAACGAGCCCGAAACGTAAAATGGCGCAGTGCAGTCCAAAGTTGCGAGTCGCGAGAGAAAAGTCGCGACTCGCGAGCCTACGTCGCGACTCGCGAGAGCAAAGTCGCGACTCGCGACTTTAACAGAGCCTCCGACCAGCTGCGCGACCCCACGACTCGCGAGTTGACTCGCGACCTGTTCGACCCTGTTTTTATTTTTCTCCGTTTTTACTCATTTTAGCTCCTTTTTTCGAGCTCTATATATGAAAACGAACCCCCAGACCTAAGGAACAATCCCCAATATTGTTCCTTTCAATTTTTCTCTCCAAAAACTCAATATTGTTAGGATAAATTTCTCCACTTTTCTTTTTTTTCTCTCATGCTTGGATTGTTGGACACAAAGTTATTTGGATTGAAATCTGGCAACTCTTAATCCGATTGTAAGTTTTTCAATTCTATTTTATTATTGTTGATTGGTTTTATGTTCTTAATTCCGGTTAACATGAAATTGAATCTAAGCATGAGGTAATCAATTCACCTAGGGTTAGGAATTTTGATTCTTGTTTTGAATTATGAGGAATGTGTTTTGTTCAATCTATACGAGTTGTGTGAATTATATGGTTAGTTGATTGATCACCATTCTAACCTAGTTAATCGACGTTTAGAACCGAGAGGGGAGACGTCGGTCGATTTAGGCTCGTATAGAGTAGACATGTTCGTAAAAGTATTGTCTATGTGTTGCTTGTTTGAATGAATTTATCGTTTATGTTTGTGCTCTTGTTACGAAGAGTTATTGAGCATAGCCCTCTAGACGTGTAGGCTTGTTTAATCTCGTAACCGAACAAATAAGCGTTCAACATAGTTTAAGACTTGATGAGATTTCCCGACCCCTAGACCTTCTTCTTTTTCTCTAGGAATTTAATTGTTATTTCTTTAAATTGTTTTTCTAGTTCTAGATTGTTTTAGTTGATTCCCCCAAATCAATCGTGATTAGCGTGTTTAGTACTTATTTTCTTTTCGTGTGTGATCAAGACCAACGCTAAATTCCGAACAGTCTTCCTCGAGAGATCGATTCGGTACACGGTAAAAAAATAAAACAATTTGCTACAACATTGGCTATAGATTTATACTAGTGCGCTGCGTCGCAGTGAAAGGATCACAATTGAGACGTGTTCTTCTGTTCTGACTGTCATGAAGAACCAAGGTCTCGGTGACTCTACTAATTCTTAACTCTAATTGTAATACTTAGATATGTGGGATATTTGTTTGTTACTTTAATTTACCATGGGCGAAAACCAAGTATTGGTTCAATATGCTCCGTATCTTGGGTAACAACATTGTCTGCATGATATCTATTTATTGGCATTAGGGAATCGTGTCCTGGACATCCAGGTTGATGACGTCCCCTTAAGGAACTCATAAGGATTATCGTATCAAACCCTACAGGTGGATTTAATCCATACGATAATAAGGTTGAGTGGTACTACTTAAGGAATAAAAGATATTAATTAATTAAAGCAGTCAGAAGCTTTAATAGTTAATGGACGTGCGATATCTTAAACACAGGGAATTATATCGAGTCTAATAGAAGCCCTGATTCATTTCGGGATAGGACGGGAGTGCAATATTAATCCTCTAGTGGAATGAATTAATATTTACGGGACAAATTGTGTTCTGGGCTGAACATAAGAATTTGGGCCCGTAAGAAGCCCAAACCCTATACCTTCTAAGAGATCCCTAGTTTGGCCCAAGGACCTCTATAAAAGGAGGGATTGCACACGTTCTTGAACCCTAAGAGATCATCACGTCTTCAGCCACCACAACAACGTGAGGGAAAACGTGAGGGGTTCAGAGAAGAACGAAAACAATCCACTCTTTTCAACCGTTTGGTAGATCGTCGTCCATCCGGCGTCCAAACGTGGTCGGGACACAGACTAGAAGATCGCTCAGATCGAATCAAAGCCTCGAATCCACTCTTTTCAACCGTTTGGTAGATCGTCGTCCATCCGGCGTCCAAACGTGGTCGGGACACAGACTAGAAGATCGCTCAGATCGAATCAAAGCCTCGAAGAAAGGTAAATTCTCTGTTCGTCCTTTAGGAGCATGCCTAGGGTTATTCGAAATCATGTATGTACATGTTTGGTATCCGATATCGATCCGTGGGACGGACCGCCTCGTCGGCGTGTTCCAGCAAGTGCAACCACACTAGCAAGAAATATGAATTATTGAAATGCCCACGTCCGTCCGTGTCCCTTTACCTTTGGGCACTCGGGAAGTCAGGTCGATTGGGATTCTTTATTGTTGGAAGATGGGCCCATATCATTGAGAAAGAGACTACGTTCCGTTACTTGAATGAGTTCGAGCTCATATGAATATGGAGAGTTGACCGAAATGGGCACTAATAATATGACTTTAAGGAGCACTTGAGGGGGTTTTTGGGTTCAAATGCCAGTTCCGAGCCGCGGTTTTGAAGGCCCTGAACTAGCTCGAAAATATATACGGACCGGTTCAGTGAATCGACGGTTACGAGTCTATTCATGGTCCACTTTCGGGTCAGATCAGTTCACTAAAAATAAGAAAAAAAAAATCACAAAAAAAAAGAACCGCATGTTCCAGCCCAGTTCGGAACGGGCCCGACGGTTCAGAAAAATACAATATGTGGCTCAGAAGCGATCCGGCTAAACCAAGAGCTCGATTCAAGGCCCGTTGACCACGTACCGATTATGGGTCAGTTCTAGGACAAAGTCGCATACGTTCTCGAAAAGGCCACGACAGACAGGTCAGGAGGTCGGATTTACGATATGACAATCCACGCTCAAGTCAGAACTCGTTCAACTATACATTTAAAGAATTTAGAGAATAATAGAACATGTGTTGTGTAATAGAAAATAACATGTCGTCCTTATATAAGACTAAATACTTTAGGGTCAAACTAAGTTTTTGTTAGAGAAAATATCTTGTCGGAATGAGAGTTAATTTTAAGATTACTTTTTTCTTTTTCGGTTAAATATGTTTGGTATGAATTCTAGCAGTTTTGAAATTGTAGAGAGAGTGTATTTGTTATGAAAAAAATTTTAAATATACGAGTCCCGCAAAAGATTGAAGAAGTTTCCAAAACTAAACTATTGATATGAGATTGGGCTCAGTATTTTAGATCGACCAGGCCTATTGTGTAAGCTTAAGCTCTGTTAATTTCATAAATAAGCTGGACTCTATATTATAAATTTAAGTATGAGATAAGATTATTGAGTTCCATTAGATTGTGGATAAAGAACCCAAATCATATAAATTAAAAGATTGGTAAATAATTGATCAGGCCTAGTACATTTTAGGATCAATAGGAAGCCAATGATGAATTTCACATGCTAAGCCCATTTCTAAAAGAAAGTTGTTATTATTTAAATAAATGGACATCAACTGCTTCAATAACTAATTTGAAATAATGGGATTAACTAAGTCGCTTGTGGACTCGACTCGATTCATTAAGGCTTAAGTTCGGCTATACTTATTTGATAAATGTAATAATACCATTTTCGTCTCACGATTTGGTAATTAGGTTCCATTATAAAGGCCTAATTTTTTTAAACACAGGATACCTAACCATTAGGTAAACTATAATTTCTTATCAAAGCAGATTTATATAGTAAAATGTTATACTTTTATTTACATTTTATTTTGAAACGGGATGTTTCAATATAAAAGTATGTATATTTGTTGGAAGAGTATAATTGTTTAATCATTAGACAGTTTGAACAAAAAACTCACAAGTAAGTAAAATGATGATATTCGATTTAACTAACATAACTCACTACACATACTAGCAAAAAGTAATGGCACTTGATGATAGAAAAGGATAGTTGCAAAAATAATATGGTATTTGGAAATTTGAGGATAACTCTTTTCTTCAATTAAATTAATTAAATGTAAATTGTTTGCTTTCAGTAAGTGTAGTTGCAATCAATCTATTCAAAATGAAAGAAATGGATGGAGCATTGCTTATATGTGGCCCCAGTTATTGGTGAATACATTATACATGTTAATCAAAGATCCACTTGGCACACAGGGAACCTTTGATAGTGAAATAAGATGATTAATCACGGTCATTATCTTGAAAGTTATAATTATGTCTTAACTTAATTAAGCATGAGGTATAAACAAATCAAAATTATGAAGCCACCAAACTACAAAACCAATCATGTTGACTAATTTATATATTTGATTCTTCCAAAGTTGCTAACCAAATCTCATGTAGTTATTAAATACAGTAAAAGTACCCTCAATTATTGGCATTTGTTGTGTTTTTTAACTAACCTCATCTTTTTTTTTAAGAAAATGAAGAAAGTGTCTAATTTTTTGTCCGTTTTATGCTCCTCCATATGTAGACCATTTGTTGACTTTGCATTTTGCAATGCTGATTGAGAATATAATGGAAATATAAAATGGGTCCATTGTAATTGCTAAAAAGTGAATTATTTGGAATGGGAACTTTTGGTTTACTGTAACCAATCAAACGAGTTATAAATGAGCTCGAACTCGATTCGTTAAGAGCTCCAGCTCGAGTCGACTCGATCTGTAACCAATCAAACGAGCTATAAATGAGCTCGAACTCGATTCATTAAGGGCTCCAGCTCGAGTTGAGTCGAGCCAGACCGTTTAATATAACATCACTATTTACACTATTTACAGTACATCCACGAACATATTAAATGTTCAGTAGTCACATGTGAGAACTTTTAATTCATTCATATAATAGGTTTTTCACTTTAGACCTAAGTTTGTTTTATCGAAACTTCGAGCCATTTACTAGGTTAAAGATTGACCAACTTATTAACAGTAATTTGAGTAGATTAAAGATTGACCAACTTATTAACAGTAATTTCATGTATGAACCGGACTTCAGGTTTACAATGAAAAAGTAATTTACTAATTTTAGTATCTTTTTCATTTTTTTTTTTCTGATATAAAATTAACTCTCACCTTCCAACTCAGCACCATACTCTCAAAATTGACATCAAAACAATAGCAAATATAGAAATAATATTTGTAGCGATAATATATCATCACCACATTCATGTTATTTTTCCATGTTCAGTTTACAAACATGAGAATCATCACTCTTGTTTTACACCACACATATACTAAATTACTAATGACAGTCAAAATTAAGTCCTAAATTCATCCATTCATATCTTCCTCCATTTTTCATCTTGTTCACTTTTTCTCCTAATTTTTTTTCACCATTTTGACCTCCACACCTTCATTCACAACCTTCATCAACCCCACAGTAAACCGGCGACTCGACTAGGGTCAAACTCGACATGCAGCTCTCTGACCTGGCGAAAACCGGGCCCTTTAAATCGTCTCTTCTTTTGTTCGTCGGGCTACTTGGCAAAGACCTCGTAGATTTCGGGCTGTCCAGGCTTTTTCTAAAAACCTGCCTCATGGCCCGAATAAGATGAACGGTTGGATCCTCAGGTGGGCCCGAGGCCCGAAACTTGCTGCAGAAGCTTATGTGTCGGGCCAATGCCTCGTCCGGGCTTATAAGCTTTGGTGAACGTAATGTTTCGTCCTTAACGGCCTCCGAACAAAGCCCACAGATCCATTTGCCACAATACCTGATGAAAGAACGCGATTTTTCTCGTAATTTGCAGAGAATTAATACTTCATTGATAGATAAATGGGTAGAAAACATCCAATAATCTTTCAAAAACTGCAAATATCAAGTTAGAAGAGGTTTTGTATTAATTTCATAAATACTGCATTCTCAAGGTCCAATTTACAAAACCAGACAAATATCAAATAGCAATCCTAATAAGTTAAAGATAGAAAATTTCTAAAGTTTTTTATGCAAAACATGTAAATTAACATCCTAACGTAAAAGCCCCACTCGTATTGGGGCCCAAAAACAGAGGAAGAAACAAACATATGTCTCAAGACAGCGCCAAAAAACAAGAATGATAATCAGATGACATAAAACTCAACAAAACCAATCAAATCCAATCCAAATTGGCAAATTCCCAAACAATCAACTACCTTTCTCGATAATCAGATGACATAAAGCTCAACAACACCAATCAAATCCAATCCAAATTCCCAAACAATCAACTACCTTTCTCGGATTGTTTCTATGTATGCTAGGGTGCACTCCTCAGTAAGCCCGCAACAATCGCATTTCGCAAACTCCACCTCGGTTTGGCCCGACATCATACTCACAGGCCCGTTAACAGAAGGCCCGTCGGTCCCGGGCCCGGGCCCAATAACCATAGAATCACTTACTACAGTCGACATACCTGAAACCATAACACAAACAAATCACAATAAAAATCAAGAATCTTGACAAAATAAATCAACGAGAACACGAAAAAAATGAAGTAATTTAAGAAGAAAATGAAAAATTACCAGCTGAAGGTAATAAAAATCGATTTGATACAATCCTTGATATCTAAATTTACAAATACAGGATAAGGGCTGGCTGATAACTCTGATCAAGCAACAAAAAGAACAAAAAAACACTATAAAAATTCAATCTTNATTTTTATCTATCTTTCTCCCACTCGCCTTCTTCTTCCACCTTTGCTTCCTCAGGGATGAAGGTATACAAAAAAGACATTTCAAAAACAAAAAGAAAAAACAAAAAAACACTGCAATAATTACACGGATAAGAACAAATTAAAAAGGCTAGAAAAAGCTTTCCTTTTTTTGTTTCAGGAATTTGCTCCAAATAGAAGAGATGGGATCAGATAAATCAATGAAGGGATTATGTGAATTTTTGAGAGAGCGCTTTTTTTCTTGTTCGTCGTGCCAAAAAATAATAAAAAAACTTTCTTGGGCTCTTTTTCAGAAGGTTGGAAAATTTTACATAGATGAGTTTGTGTGTGGGCGTTTTTATGGTGTGGGAAAATGGGGTTTCAATAATTGGGGGGACTCGTGTCCTATGCTAGGATGAAATTAGGGTTAAAGTATAAAAATTGTGGCTCATCTCTGAGGATTTGACAGCAGTGCCAAATGCGTTATCTTTGTTGGTTTGGACTTTGGATAGCTGTCGGATTTTTTTTTTTAAATCTATTATTATTAATTATTTTCATTTTTCAATTTTAAAAGAATCTTTTTTATTTTCCTTTTGGGGGAGAATATATGAGGATGATAATTTGTTGACAAATTCAGAATTACAGTTTGACTCTTGAGGAATGAGGATGTTGAAGAGTTAAAGGGAAAAAACTCTAGTATACTTCTAGAAAGTGTGCCATTTTTTAAAAGTAAAACTAATTTAACACAATGTTTTTGATTTTTATATAATGGACGATGAATAAAATGGTGCATAAGTGTAAAAACTATACGTTTTAAACTTGATCTGATATAATAAGATAATTAATCATATGAATTTATGTCAACTTTATGTTTATGTGATCTATTTATGAATTGGACTCTACATACAACTTATTAGAAAAGATAGGTAATTTAGTTATAGTATTAGTTCCATGATTTCCATCTCAAAAGGTAGACTAAGCATTACAGTAGTGTTTATTATATTTTCTTAACAAAATATTCATCAATATGTGAATTTTAAAACATGATATACCACTTGAACATTTTTTCTAATAGAGCCAACCTTGTATGCATGCCATTTAAAAATATCACATTCTATAATTAGTATAAAAAATATAATTCAATTATTTTAATTAATTGATATTTGTTAGTTGTATTTTACAGCATTTGTACATTTGTTTTGTATAAATGTCTTTTACACCTTGGTGATTGGATGATATTGAAACCATATAGTTTATATTATCATTTAGAGTGATTAACATTAATTGTCATAATTACACCTATTATTCTAGTGTAGTTTGTACAGTCAATGATGAGTCGTCGTCTAATTGAATTGCTAGTATATATATCGAGGATGGCCATTTTTTTTCAGAGATATTCTAATTTAGTGGACTTACTCGTTAAAGAATAAACTTTGTGAGATTCCTTGTGAATAACTGATTGAGTGGATTGATTCGTTTGGGAAATGAAGTAAGCAAAGAGCAAATGGGGCTGTCTTTCCTGAACTTACAATTAAATTCAGATAATTGTTTTTATTGTCATTATTAATTTATTCCCAATTGAAATTTGTGTGGCTCGTGTAAAATTTTCAATAACAAATATATATGCAGTTGATTCATATTGATTTTAAAAATTAGAAAAATATAATTTTTTTACTTGACATATCAATTATTATAAAAGATTTTAACAGTTTACAAGACATGATATAGGAGATTTTTAAATTAATCTTATTATAACGTGGGAGATAAATGAAATAAATGTGAAATATATAATATTGAAACNGCAAAATTGCCCATCTACTCACCACATCCTGAACGTGTATGGTATATTAGTTTCGAACTTAGTATTCTTATTTTTCAAATAATCATATTAGTTTCGAACTTAGTATTCTTATTTTTCAATTATTATTTTTTTCTTGTTCATGAAAATTAATTGTTAGATCAATAGATATTCTATATGTTAGTAGGCTTTGACAACAAATAAAAGAAAAGGTATGAGCTCTTTTACTATTTGGTCAAATTCATGCATGTTACCTTTTTATACGTTTCGTTTTCTATAAATGACAAAAAATATATATTTTAAATATTATCAATAGCATGTGTTAAAAGGCCAAAAAAGAGCATAGGGTACGTGACCTCGAGACTCTGACTGGCCGCAAATGCAATACACTGATTGGTGAACATATCAAATTATTATTATATTGGTTAATTTTTTATTTTTTTATTCATATGGTGTTAGAAATCAAGAAAACATTGCAACTCTTGTTTTAATTCAACTAACACAAATCTAAAAAAAAAAAATTGTATTGTAACAACGAGAAATTTGAAAAGGAATAAATGTGTTTTATTCATTTCTAATAAAAAAAAAAAGGAATTTGAAAAGTAAAAACCAACGAGAAATTAAAGAACGCGTGAATAGTAAGTATGTTCCTATGAAAATGAAATGAATATGACCAGCTGCATGTGCTTAAAATAAAAGGAGATAATGATAAGAACAATTAAAAGGAAAAAAAGAGAAAATTTCACTTTTGGTACCCCAAGTATACATACTTTTCGGTTTTGATACCCATGGTTTAAACTTAATCATTTCCAGTCACTCAAGTATTTAAATCCATCATTATTGCCCAAATCGTCAGTTGAACGTGAGTCACTCCTAAGTACCAAAAGTGAATTTTTCCCCAAAAAAACATAAATTGAAAGTGAAAACTCACCTTTGCCTAAAATGTGGAGTGTGTGGTTTTTGCCACAGCCACGTTTTTCATTGGATTATATTGTATTCATTGTCACATTTAAACCCATTGTTGAACGTTTGCAACAAATAATTATCAGCTGTGTTGATAACTTCATATCTTAATTACTTTCTTAACTCTCCAACTTTAAACACGAATTGGAAAGTTTAGACGAATTGATCAGTTATACTTTGATAATAAAATGTATATTTATTATAAAATATCTCTCTTTTAATTTGTGTTGTTTTATAAAGTTTCGTATTTTAATTCGAAATATGTATATTTGTTGAAAATATATGATTGTCCAATCATTAGGCTTGTCGAACATTAGTCTTAAATATTACAAATCGAGTTTCTAAGAGTCCCCGATTTTCGTCAATTTGATGCGAATTTTGTATTATTTGTTCAGTTTTTTTATGTATACGTCGTTCTTCTTTTCTCCACATCTAATAAAAAGCCACACTTAAGTTCCTTGGAGCTGATTTGTTGATGACCGCATTATTTTCAATTTGCAAAAATCGAAAGCTCGTAACTTTTATTATCACAAATAAATATTTGGATTGAATTTTAAACGGACCAAAGTTGTGATTTAATCTACAATTCAGCCTATTTGTATTTACGTAAACTTCAGTAGGATGAAAATTGAATAATAGGCCAAAACATTCCATGTGCCCACACAATTATTTTAATAGTGAACCAAGATTTTTTTAATTATTTATTTATTATTACTATTTTTTTTTTTTTTGCACAACAAATTCAATACTCTCACTATAGTAGCTTTTGACGTTAGTCTTGCGCCTGATTAATAACTCTTGTATTTCAAGACCTCGAGTCAAAAAGCCTAAGAAGATAATTAGTAAATAACTAGTTAATTAATAGAAATTAGTTACCACGTTTCACTTATTTCACTTTTTTTTATTGTGATTAATTTTACAAGTAATTTTTATTAAGTGAATGTTAGATCCAACAAATATCAAACGGAAGAAAACAAAAGAGATTATTGACAGATGATAAGTATGAACAGTTGAACACCCAAAACGAATACTTGTAGCTAAAGAACCATGCAAATTAAAGCCAAATAATGAATTTGCCTTGAAAAGATTGTACACATACCTAAAATAGTTTTTGAGTTGCAATTTTGATCACAAAAATGTTTATCCATGTCTTCCATTAGACCAACCTAAGGACAACCAAATGCCTGAAATCTAAAGTACATGTATGATTAAAACTTTTGAAATTATTTTTATTAGATCTATTTTGGGATTAAATATGTGTGATTGATACATTAGGTCATTATATTGTTTAGCCAAATTAAGTGATCAAATTATTGTACATTAGCTAAAGAACTTAATTTAGATCGTGGAATGATTAAATGTGGACACCCGGTAATAGTATTATTTGGTGACGTAACAAATAATATTATTAAACTTAAGGACCTAAATAGCAAATAACTTGGGTCAAAATAATTAATGGGTGGAGTCTGAAAAGGTCTTGAAAATGAAAGGGGGCCCTTGGGATTCTTTATTAAGGGTCACGAAACTGACACCCCACTACGCTTCATTCCGTTTCTCTTACGTCAGAGGAGAAGAGATATGGTTCACGGTTTTTTGGAAGAACTCCAAATCCCAATTCAATTCCAAAGCAATCAATCAACACAAATCCATCAGGTACGCTTCGCTCTTCAGATTTGATTCTCGATTGTTCAATATGAATGCTCCTAGGATTAAGAGATTTCAATTGCATAAGGTTAAATCCAATTCTATCAATTTTTTTCTTTTTCATTTAATTTAAATTATTGGAAAATTAAATGGGTGTAAAAATTGGTGTGAAATTTCGTATGTGTATTTTATTTTTGAAATTTTAGTAAGTCTTAATAAGTACAGATAAATTGAAGTGATAAATAAATTGAATGCATCATACTTTGCTAAAACTTTTTGAGTCTCCAATAAATATATAAAGACTTTTGTTTTTAAAAATAAAAATAAAAATTAAACACAACATGATTTTTAAAATCTCAAAATAGTCCTTAAAATATTTGAATGAATAAATATATTTTAAATTTATTTTGCCTCCTATTATAAATTTAATTTGCCTCCTATTATATCACGGAATATATAATTTGGGTTCAGAGGCCGGGTCTACTAACTCAATACAAATGGGCCCTGGTTTCCTTTCTAGCCCAAGATACGTTACGTGGTTAGCCCGGCCCAGCCCAAATATCTTTTCACAGTCATCCACAGTTTCCACACCACGATTGCAGTCTTCCTCTCCTGAGCTTCAGACAGGAGTCCAATGGCGGAGCAACACACACGCGCGCACACACACAAACACCTTTTTCCCGCTTTTCCAACATAAGTGAGACATTCATCGGATCACATTTTCTCGGTGAAGGAGAAAACCACACATACACGAAGCATCATCATCGTCTTCAGATGGCTCTTTTCCTCTGCCTTCTCGTTCTTCTTCACGGGTGAGCAAAAGCTTGACGAACCTGAGAAACCATTAACGAATAACAGTAATTTCTACATATTATTGTTTTTTAAGCTTTTGAGAGTACTGATTGGACTTGCGTATGCTTGCCTTTTGAATTACTGAATTTGGGGATGGTGTGGCTTAGTTGAGCTTGGGTCTAGGCTTTATGTCGCGATGATTGGGTTTTTTTTCCCCTTTTCATTTCACTTTATTAAGATCCCTAATTTTTCCTCCAGATTCATCAGTAGGCCAAATGTGGTTGTTGATTTTATATTTTTATTCTGCCAGTTATTTCGTCTCTGAAAATGCTCTGTTTTCTCTTTGATCTTCATTTTTGTTGGGTAATCTTTGAAAGCTTTGAATTGTAGAGCATCAGCTAATGCTGGTACTGGAAAAGAAAAGACATTGGCAATGGTAAAGCCAGATGGAGTTGATGGTAAACATGTCGATCTTATCAAGAAAACAATTTCGGATTCCGGCTTCAGCATAATCGACGAAATCGAGCTTCAATTGGACGAAAATGCAGCAAAGAGTTTCTACGAAGAACATTCTTCCAAGAGTTTCTTCTCGAGCCTCGTTAAATACATGACAAGGTATCTCGTTTGCTCCATCTTGATCTCGAGGTGAAGTTAGTTCTGTTTTTGCAAGTTCGAATAATCTTGCGTGGTAACCATGGTTACACGCCCATAGTACAACATGATTCGCATAGTTAAAAGCTTCCGGTCATAAATGTTATATGTTATAGATAACTTATCATGTGCATTGCACCGAATTTTATCGATTCAGTCTCGAGCTATTGCTTATTTTTATATAAGCCCGGCATAAGANTTTTTAATCAGTGGGCCGGTGCTAGTAATGGTTCTAGAGAAGGAAAATGCGATAGCAGATTGGCGTGTTTTGATTGGACCTACGAATGCAAGCAAAGCTAAGGTGACTCATCCCAAAAGGTAAGTTAATTTGTGAAGTTATGTAACACTGTTGAACCAATTTTGTGCGGGTTTATATTATTTTCTCTGTTTCAATGCTAGTTTGAGAGCCTTCTGCGGGACCGACTCTGAAAGAAACTGTGTTCACGGTTCAGATTCACCGCAATCTGCTGCAAGAGAAATAGCGTTTTTCTTTCAGAAATCCTTTTCAGGTCAGGTCTTCCTGTAGATTTTGACTCGATTTTCATTGATGTGGATGAATTCTCGTGATATCTTGTTCGTGCTCGTTATGCATGCTGTACCTTGGTGATACTAAGCCTTATTTCGAAAAGCTAGACTTGGACTGAGCTGTTTTTCTATTTCAAGTTTGCAGTTTGTCTACATTTTTTAAATCTAATGAAAATTCAGAACTTTTGAAGGGTATTGATTGTTAGCATTTTGTAATCTGGCCATCTTCGTTTTCCTGAATAAAGGTTGTTTTGTCTGATTTTTCGAACCGAAATACAAATACTCATCCTTTTAGTTAAGATAAGAGTATGAATTGATGATGCCTTTATTTAGGCTATGTTTGGTAAACCTGATAAACTAGCTTATAGCTTTTAAGTGAATGTTGAGCTTATAGTTGATAGCTTATGAATTATGGCTGAAAAGCTAGCTTAGTTGATAAACTAGCTCTAATAAAATTTTCAATAGGCTTGTTAGAATATAGGTACCAATAATCCTTGAATTTTCACACAAAGTTCAAATTGTAAATAAGCAGCTGAAAATAAATAAGCATCGAAGATTCAAAATTTAGCCTGAAAATCACTTGTAGACCAACATGCCAAAACATTCACTATAACAAATCAATTACGATGTTTTTCAAACAATTCCAAAATATCTCCAACACGTCTAGTGAACTACGAAAAATAAATCTCGACTTCGACAACAAGATGCACTATATCATATCATATCACCAACAAAACGAAGACCATAATAATCTTACGAATATAACAAGAGATAAAAAATTAAAGAAAGCAAGTCCGATAGATCTCTTGTGTGAAACGAAAGAAGTCTGTCGGGTGCTCAATGACCAAAGCCACACGCTGTCACCTTAAACAAAAATTGTTGCTGCTTGTCTTATTTTCACGAGGAAAAACGCACGCTCCACTCTTTTTCCTTCCTTTTCCTAGTAGGACAGATGAGAAAACTTTTTAGCACAATAATATTCTCCCAAAAACAGTATACAACCATTGAAAAAAATAAAACCAGAAAAGCAAAACACCAAATATATATAAAGTACACGAATTAACAAAACTTCTTTGAAAAGCTAATCAAGATAAGCTCCAACTTTTTAAAATGTTCGTCCTACCAAACCAAGTTTATTTGAATACAGAAAGCTTATAAGCTATAAGCTAGCTTATATGTTTACCAAACAGTCTTAGAGTAGTCTACGAATGCATGTAATTCCCTTGGATTAGTCACCGCACATTAGATTTATAGTGCAACATCTATACCCCTAAAACTTAAAATATAATGAAGAGAGTAAACTGTAAAAGCGAAAAATTATATTTTACCTCTCTATTGAAGAAATTAATCGCTTCTACTTTTCATTTTGCACTAGTGTTTCAGCTTGCATTATCTCTAACTCAATAAGTTATATCTCCTTTTTGTGAAAATGCAGTTTTTGCCACTACCAATATTAGAACGGTTTGTTTTTACGATCTCAACGCTAGCATTTGTGTTTTTTTGTCTACAGGATCGGTCTCAAAGCACGATGAATTATAGTTGAACGACATATGCAGTAATCTGTACCAAGAACTCGCCAAAATCGGAAGGTGCTTTTTCTCTGGGCTTTTCCACAGTCAACTCTGATTTTCCTTTTTTTGATTGTTTCTTCAGTTACCTTGATGAGTATGTCCATGAGTATGACTCGAATGTTAAGAGAATATACAGCGGCCGAACAAGATTTATGTGGATGCCTTAGAGTTTTCAACAAGATTGATTATTTAGTTATTGATCACAAGAGAAACTCCTCAACTGTGTTGATACAATAAGGTTCAGAATTTTCAACAGCCATTTTTGCTGCGTTTGAATTTCTTAGTTTCACTTTTTATTCCGCTATATGTGAAATCTTACTCAAGAATATCTTTTTTTCCTTTTTCTGGAGGTAAAAAAAAAAAATCAGATAATTGGAGTTAGGTGTAGTATAAACTATAAAATTTACATACTTTCAAATCACATTTCAGTGGAGCTTCAAAAGAGGCCAAACAAATAAAAAACTATAGGCAATATTTGGTGACATTACGATATGTTTGGATGTTACCGGATTGATGGAAAATTAAATGATTGATCATTTAGAAGTTTAACCATCAAATCCACTAATAATAGTGGAGTTTTAATTTCAAAGATATCTTTTGTAATTAACCCGATTTATTACCAAATAAGAAGTCTTATTATTTATTTTTTTTCCTACACAAATGACACTTGGCATTGATCAGATTGCATAGAGAAGAAGGGCTAAATAATGTGGAGCAATTAGTTACACTATAAAATTTATTTTGATAAATTCTAAAAAGAGTACGTTTAATAAAAATATAGATGTAACTACATTACACTAATATTTGAAGAGAAATGCTACATTGTCAACCTAGCGTACAACTAGGTTGACAACACAAGTAAAAACTATTTATAAAAAAAAATAAAAAAATACACAAATGGATGTTTCTACTTGTGTTGTCAACCTATTTGTACACTAGGTTGACTATGTGTCATTTTTCATATTTGAAATAATACTGTTAATCCACGTACCTAGAGTGATCCGTCATAATTTTCAATAAAAATATATATTTATACTTTTTATATGTATTTAGTACTCCCTCCTTTTTTTAATAGATGTCGTTTTGAGAAGTTGCACACTAATTAAGAATATCTTTTTTGCCAATAATAACCCTCATCAATGAGGATAGAGATGGATGCTTTGAGAAAATATAAAGAGTGAATATGAAAAGACGTAGTATATTTATTAGCTAGATAAGGGTAATAATGGAAAAATATGTACAAATAATCCAAAACGTCATTTATTTAGACAATTGTTGATAAAGCCAAAATGACATTTATAAAAAAAAGGAGGTAGTATATAAGATTTGTCTTAATGACAATTTCACTCACTATTATTTAAAGGACATTAGAAGGATATATTAGGAATTAAAAGTTTCCAATGCACCCGTACACAAGATCATTGATGAGTGGGTATTAAGTTAGAGCTCGAAGCCTAGACTATAGCTATTAGAAGAAGTGAGCCTATTTATGATAGTACGATATGAGATAGTGTTTTCTGAACCAAAAGCTCTCACACTCACTAGCTCGTATATGAAATTAATCAAATTATTGAATAATTAATTATTTAATATGTTAAATTCATCTCTAATCTACTAACATTAAAGAAGGGGTTTATCACAATTCACAACACTTGAAACTTAAAAGGACACATTGTTTCGAAATATTTAAGGGTCTAAAATGAAAATACCTGAAACACAAAGCCCTAAAAATTAGGGCAAAAACAAACACAAACAGAATAATCAAGAACAACTTTTCATAAATAAACTCTTGAAAAATTGCCTCCCTTTTGGGGATAGGCCCTTCGTAAGAAAAATTTAAGGTTTCTCTCCGATCAGATCTTCAACAGAAAGTCAATATTATCCTCCTCATTGTAGAAGCGTTCCCCATTTGCTGTTTTTTTTGAGTCAGGGTTTAAGCAGATTTATAAAAGATCAGAGCTATTTTAGCTTTAACTTAATATGTGACGCTATCAGAGCTATTTTAGCTTNTGGTACAAGAGCTATTTTAGCTTTAATTTAATATGTTGTCAGCGTCGTTCTTAAAATTTCGGGGAATCTGAGCTGAGGATGCGATTTGATTCACTGAACTTTGTTCCATTTTTTGGTGATTTTTTGGTAATAACGAAAAAGCTAGAGTCTTGCTTTGAGTTCGTCAATGGCGTGGGCTGGCCCAGAAGATGGCTACCTCTCAACTTCTCTTGCGAGCTATCTTGACAGTAAGCTTTTCTTATTTTCTCACTAGGTTAAGTGCATTAGGAACATCGAGCTGAGCTCAGCTCACGCCTTAGCTAGCCGAGCTGAGCTGAGCTGAGCTCACTAGCGGCTCATTCTATAATCAATACCCTTCTTTTTATTATATTTGTTGTTTATGTTTGGAACTGTTTCGAGTTTGAACTGTGTCATTGGTTATTGGAGTTCTTTGGTGACTTTTAAATGAAGGGCCTATCCTTAAATCTGTAATTCAGATTTGAGAGATTTGAGGTGTGTAATGTGTTGTTGTTTAATCTTTTTGTCAAGCCTTTTTGTTGTTTCGTGAGGTCCTCTTATCTATTGATTGTGAGGAAGATAATGTTGAAATGCTTTTTATTTTTCTTCATCTTGAATAGTAGTTTTTCCACATTCTATCTCAATGTTTCAATGTTTTGAAAAGAGTAAACGAAGTGCATTAATATTATCGAATATCGATGCTGCAAATCATTCTACTGTAAAAAATAGAATGCTCTTTTTTTGCCATTTCTAAATTGTAGTTTAGCCATGGTATCTATATAACTTGAATTTTGGAGACTGATTGTTAATCACTATTCGAGGATGAAAAGCATTTGTGTGTGCCCGTTGTATCTGTTTATTGATTTTAATTTTTATATGTCCAACTACATCTAATTCTGATGTCTTTGCTGATTTACACGACAAGGTTTCTTCACATTGACTCATTGTATAATGTCTTTGTGTTTTTGTTGCTTCTAATTGAGGTGCTAATTTTTCCTTTTCATTATCTAGGAACTTTTTCCAGCAATAAATTTTAGTTTTTAGAAATGGTTGCTCACAAAAATTCTATGGAGCCATCTGATGGTTTTCTTATAGAGCCATCCACCACTTAATGTATTGACACTTGTCCAAAATGTATTTATTACAGGACACGTGTCAATACACTATTGGTGAATAAGTGTGGATGGTTCCATAAGCCGAGCCATCCGATGGCTCCTGGGGTTGCTCATTCTAACCATTTGATTGTTCTTT